AAGACTGACAAATGGAGTTGGTTAGATGGCAGGAAGCAGCAAGAGGGGAGAGAGAGTCCAAGTTGAAGAGAGACATGATGACAAATTCAACTTCAAGTTGTTGGTAGGTCAGTAAAAGGAAATGTCCCCTAGGATCCTGAAGATCCCAGGCTCCAAGTAGATAGGTAGGGCCCAGGGTCACAGGGAGTGCATGGATCCTGCAAAGCAGCAAGTGCAAAGGAAAGGCAGGGTGCAGCATTGCAGGAGGTGTTCAAATGAAAAGATGGGGTGGGAGAGGTGATGGTAATAGTGGTGGTAGATAGTGCTTTTAGTACCTTTGAGCTCTGCAGCAGAAAAGTCCAGAAATACAATGCCAGGGGGGAAAAATATAGGATGGGGGACAGAAATTATTAGAAACCTTAAGTGTGCTCTAAAGGCAACTTTGCTTAAATTAAATATTGACATTGTATTTACTTAATGATTTAAAAAATTAACATTTTTGCTGTTTTTCTCGGTTGGAAGACATATGGAAAGGCTCCATAAATGTTGAGTTGAAGTTCCCACTTGGCGCTCTCCCTGGTGCTGGATTTGCATAGTGCATTCCTTGTCTTAGGGGTTTATGGAAACCACTGCTTTCTCCCTATTCATCTCCGTTTAGGTGCTAGCCAGGAAGTAAATCTTACCAAATAAAATCACCTTTACATGACTTGTGCTTCTCCTCCACCCAGTATCACTAAGGCTAATGTTTGCTACAGAGTATTGAATGGAGACAGCCGTCCTTTCCAGGAGTAAAACTCTCTCCCTATTTTTTTCCAAACCAAATCATGTTAATAGTGGTTTTCAGGGGGTGGTGAGATTATGGAGAATGTTTATCTTAACATTTTCCACATTTTCCAAATATTAGTTCCATAGTTTAATTTGTATTTTTTAAAGAAAGAAAAGTAGATTGGAGATGATTAGAGTTATCTCTCTTAGAAAGTCTTATAAGATAATCATAAGCTGTGAAATTCTCAGTGACATGGCATTGCCTCTGTGTCTTTTAAGAGAAAATTCTCAGCATAATATTCAGGTTTTTAGAATTTATTTGTAAAGATTATTTATTTTGGAGAGAGAGCACGAAATTTGGGGGGGGGCAGTGGGAGAGAATCATCAAGCAGACTCCCTGCTGAGCATGGAGCCCCAGGTGGGGCTCCATCTCACGACCCATGACCCGCTTAAACAACTGAGCCATCCAGGTGCCCCTAAAATTTATTTTTTAAGAAGATAAATGCACAGAAACTCTATAAGGTGAGCTCTAGGGTTGCAATTCAAAATCGATAGTTTATGGGGTGCCTGGGTGGCTCAGTGGGTTAAGCATCTGCCTTCGGCTCAGGTCATGATCCTGGGATCCTGGGATGGAGCCCTGCATTGGGTTCCCTGCTCCGCAGAGAGCCTATTTTTCTCTCTCCCTCTGCTATTCCCCTTGCTTGTGCTCTCTCTGTCAAATAAATAAAATCTTAAAAAAAAAAAAAAAAGTTTACTACTCCAAATGACTGCCTTTCTTCCTTTCGATGTAGGACATCACCTGTGAGTATCAACTCTTCAGTGCATTACAGGAAAATTTTGGATTTAGGAAGATTCCTGAGAAAAGAACTGTAAGGTCATGGCCTATATTATATGTCTAAGAAAAATTCAGCAAGCGGGGATGAATGGATAACATAGTCATATGCTTTGGATTGTCTCAAAACCACAGTCAGACACTATGAACTTGACACATGAAGCACTAGGTGCTGCTCACTGCCCTCCACTGTTGTCTTCATACCCCCATGCTCTGAGCCAGCTGACAATGTCCCCTGAGTCTCCACATACTTTCTGCTGGACTGTTGTTAGGCTTTCCATTCTTTCTCCAACCTTTACTAAGCACCTAGTATGTGCCTTTTACTGCATGTTTGCTCTGAGATGATAGAAATGGACATGATAGATCCCTTCCCTAAAGAGACTTAAGAGCCAAAAGGAGAGGCAGATATGCCAAGGTGACAGTAAAGCAGATTACTACTGGCCCAGAGGCTTATACAGGGTGTTAGGGAGCACAGAGAGCTCCTAATTTTGCTTGGTGGAAGAGGGTGGGGAATAAATAAGGGAAGAGGGTCACAAAGGAGGGGACACTTGCATTAATTCATCAGGTATACTGGGAAGGGGGCAATGGGAGAAGATCTGGGGGTGGAGACCCAGAGAGAAGAGCCAGGAAGCTACATCAAGAGAAAGGCTCAGGAATGATGAAGGGACTTACCTGGCACCTATTCTGCCAAACTGTTAAATGGAAGACTGAGCCCCATGGACTGACATGAGGGGGTAGATATAGTAGGTGGAATTCTAATTCTACTATAATTCTATAGTAGGTGGAATTCAGGTCCCCAAGATTCCAGCCCTCTGTAGAATCCTATCCCCATGAGAGTGAGTAGGATTTGTGAAGATATAATTTCACACCTGCGATTATATCACCTTATATGGTAAAAGGGGTTTTATAAACGTAATCAAGGTCCCTAATCAGTTGACTTTAAATTAATTAAAAGGATGATTATCTTGGGCCTAAACTAAGCAGGTGACCTTTTTAAAAGGGTACAGGTCTTCCCAGAAGTCAGAGTGATTCAAAGCAGAAAAGAGGCTCTCCTGTTGACCTTGAGGAAGCAATCTGCCATGTTGTGGAGAGAACCACATGGCTAGGAACAGCATGTGGCCTCTAGGAGCTGGAAATGAATTGAACAAGCAGTGAGCTTGGAAGAAAACCCTAAGCCTCAAGTGAGATTGTAACCTTGGCTAACACCTTGATTCCAGCCTGGTGAGACCCTGAGCAGCTATCCCATACCTATGCCCAGACCCACGTGGGATAATAAATTTATGCTGTCTTAAGCTTCTAAGTTTGTGGTAATTTGTTATGTAGCAACAGAAAACTAGTTCAGTGGGTAAAGAAAGAGTAAATGTTGAAGACAGAGAAGGAGGTAAGATCTAGAGCCCTATGAGAAGCTGGGGAGCAAGAAGCATTCTGGTCAGCTGGTCAGTCAGTGAGAGGTGCTGAAGTATAAAGTCAGGCAAAAAAGCCCTGCCTACTTCCTAAGGATCCCTGTGATAGGAACTGAACCCATGACTCTTTCTTTCTCAAGAGGAATGCTCAGATGAGTGGTGCGGGCTGAGGCTCTATGACTTTTCCTGCCCAAGAAGAGACTGGTGGAAAGGAGATAATCCAGAGATGATGTTTATATACTGGAGAGATGTCAAAAATGTGTTTCATTCAAAGGCAAATACTTCATTTTTGTACCATGAAACTTGGCAACTTTCTTCCTGAAATTTAGTTGTTTCCTAGAACTTTCTTTCATGTTGTTACTTGCTACCAAAGATGCAAAAGCAAACTCTTGCATTTTGTGGTGCATTTCAATTCTTTCAAAATATTGAAAAAAATCAAAGTATAGCCAGTTTATTTTTCCCTTCAAAGGAGCCAATATTTGATTTTTCTTCTTCTTTTAAAAAAATTTGGGTCACACTGGTGAATCATTTCAATGTTTGAATCATTTTAGAAGGTCCAGAGGGACTATTTCTTTAACACTGGAAATAATCAGAGGTTATACAATATTATACATAGGAAGGACAAATAGCTTTAAAAAAGAAATCCCTCCATCTCTTTTTCTTCTACCATCTCAAGGACCCTAAGTCTTCACTGAAAATAATACACCATTTTTATTGACAAAATTATCTTCATATGAAATTTTAAAGCTCGAGTAAATTGTGCAATAGAATATCAAGTACCTATTCTGTGAGAAAAGTATGGCATAGTGCTGTCACATCCACAGGTGGGAGCAAATTACAGGCATCTAAAGACAATTAACAATACAGGATGATTATATGTGGCACAAGAAGTCCAGATAATCAACGGTATAATTGCAGGGGAAGGAAGAATTGCCTAGAGTCCAGGTGATCAGCCCATCTTTGAAGGAGGAGTGATCTCCCATCAGTGGTGAGGACTGCAAAGGGGAGGGCTGGCATAAAGCAGGAAAAAGTTGGGAAGATTGGAAGAGTCTAGACATATTTGTGTAGCAATAAGTAAATCAGTTGGATTTAAGTTAGGATTCATGTCAAAGGAAGTAGGAGAGATGTTGGGAAAATATTACTGAGTCTAGGCTCTTCCTATATGCAATGGAAAGGCACTGAAGTCTTTTGGATCCAACAAAAGCAAATAGTTCATGAAGACCCGTGGTCAGTTGTGTTTGTTTGGATTGGTGGCAGAGAGCCTATTGGGAGTTTATGGCAAAAGTGATAAGGACCCAACCAGGGCAGGCGGAAAGGAGATGGGAAGATGACATCAAAATATAATATACAGACAAATCCAAAAAATGTGATACCTCTCTAGGGAATTTATTGATGTCACAAACCTTCAAAGATTTTGGCCAAGATCCAGCTTGTTTGGTGGGGACCAGTGGTCTCAGGCAACCTTCCTTTCTCTTTGCAGAGAAATATAATTGTATGTGAGCTTACAGTGATGTTTTTAGAGAATCAGCTCATGACTAATTGAGAACTTCAGTGGGAACTAGGGATGATTCCACCACCCTGCTGCTACTACTCCCCACCAAGCAGTCCCTCCTCCATCCCCAAATCACTTTACTGGTCAGAAGAAGAGGTTCTTCACCCTTACCTCACCCTTCCTTCCTTTGTCTCATGGTCAGTTTCTGAATTTATTTTTGAGAGAGGGAGATAAGCACTTGCTTGAATTATACTCCAAGGAGATACAGGTCTGGGGAACCTGCAGTTTGGCTTCTCAGTGGACTTTCTCTCTTTCTTTCTTGTGAGCCCTCAGATCCCACTATTGGTATTTCTTTCCCCAACTCCTCAGAATGACCCATATGTCACACAGAAAACCTCTGTGGCTCTAGTGGTATGAGAAGGGAAAAGATTCACCCCAACGTCTTAAGGCTGGTGCAGAGGAGAAAACAGAACCTGTACTCAGGATACCTAAGTTGTAGTGTACATTTTCCTTGTTAGGACCCTGAGAAAATCACATCACCCTTGAGTCTGTCTCCCTGTCAACCATGTAGGAATCACAAAGCTTATCACAAAGGTGTGCTGGATTGTCATGAGGATGGTAAGATAACTAATACACAGAACACACTTGCTGATGCATGACATCTACTTGTGATAGCTAAATGGCTGACCCTTATTCTTTCTCCTGCTTTTTATCTCCTTTCCCAGATTCAACACACTGGCATTACTTTGATGTAGAAAGAGAAGGTAAGCACAAACAATGAATCATGGAACACTACATCAAAAACTAATGATGTAATGTATGGTGATTAACATAACATAATAAAAAAAAAACTGAACATATGCCTACCCTAAAAAAAAAAGAGAGAGAGAGAAGGTAAGTGCTTTCAAAGAGAAAAGATAACAGAGATGGCCCGGGGGAGTAGTTAATCTTCCTTATGAAGAATTATGTCCTTGGCAAATGGCCTCAGCTCCTTCCACTCATTTTTTTTTTTAAATATCAGATTTCATCCTTTTTTTTTTCCACTTCAAGTGCTACTCTGGACACCCTCCAATGTCTTAATTTCCCTTTTGAGTTCCGGAGCCCCAAACCTGACTCTATTCTCTAAGACTATTAGGCAAGAAGAGTATTACATGGAGTAATCTTGGCATTTTGTAGAGTTCACAAAACTAAAAGTAGTACTTTATATACTGTTTTGTAAAAGTGATTTGCTATTGGTTCTCCTCAGAAGAGAGAGAGACAATCCTTTGATAGTTGTTTTCTAGAAAGAGAATGCCCCAGAATCAGGCTGGGAAATGCTCTCTAACAATGTGTTGCAGTTCTGAGGCACACAAGAGACCTTAAGAAAGATTTCAAGCTTAGATCTCAAATTTCTAGTCCAAATTTCTGTTATTTCACTGAACTGTGAGCTCATCAAGAACAGGGATGATGTTATAACCATTTTTGTAGCTCCAAGATATAGCACATAGGGACATTCAATACACCTTTGTTGAATGAACATCTATATCAAGTATCAACCCAAATAAGGCAGAAAACTTGGAGCTGTAGACTCCTGGGACCTGGCACCATCAGACCAGCGGATATAGGATTCCTAAATACAATAGTTTCTATCAGTAGGCCTCTGCCAGTAAGTCCTAGGGGAGCACCAACCAAAAGAGATGGATTCCAAGTGTGTGGCTAGACTTCCAGGTCCAACCAAATGGAGGAGGGACACTGTACCTCTCTCTCACAGTGATTTACAACTAAACACTCTGAACAAAATACAAACACACGAAGCAATTAATTAAGGACTCTGAAAAGTAAGTGAAAGCAAGTAGATTGGGGAAAGAAAGAAAAACTCAATATATGACCAACATGGTGGCAGTGAGTTTCTTTAGAAATTTTCTCCTGGCTTTGACCTGAGGGTGAGCTGACACATGAAACTGCACAGCAGTCATAGACAGCAACAACTGTAAGAACCAGCCCATCTTCCTGGACAAATGACTTGGAAAAGGGGCCCTTGCAGCCAGTGTGTGGGGAAAATTCTTTTTTTTTTTTTAGTTTTTGTTCTCATATATTTTCTCTCTCAGCTCAGTCGCAAGGCCAGATGCAACTTCCAAACTACACTGCCACCCCCATAGCAGCAGCTTGGGCACCTAAAATCCCTGTAAATCTGTACCTCTGGATAGAAGAATGTAGAAAAGGGACCCCTGCTATGTGAAGAGTATAAGGAGAGTCCTCATTTTTTCTCTTTTCTCTTGCCACTTTATCCAGAGGGCAGGCCTAGTAGAATGAAACTTTGTGATGTCATGAGTGGCTATAACTCTGAGAAAGAGCCCCATCTTTCTGGTCAGGAGACCAGAGAAAGGTGATTCTGGGAGCTGAAGAATGTGAGGGAAATCCTGGAGAGGAAAGAATGGGAGAAAGGGATTCCGTGTATGAACCAACATAAGTCCTGGGCTTTACCTCTAAGCTCTGCATGTGTGGAATACACCCAAATGCACAGCAAAGGCTTTGGAACCTGAACTGACAGTGGAACCTCTGCATACAGCAGGTGAGACAGAACTTGCCATCTGCACTTAACTGGTTTGCTTGAATGCTAAAATGAAACAAAACAAAAATCATGCTCTGATTTTAACAGGACCCAGAGTTACATAACATTCCATATAAAATATCTAAGATATAATCCAGAATTACCCGATGTGATAAGAACCAGGAAAATCTGACCAATTCTCAAGGGAAAAGATAACACAATGTTGAAATTATAAGAAAAAAGCAATTGTTTTTAATTTTAAAGCAATTGTTATGATATTTTTTATGATGTTAAAGTAAACACTTTTGAAATGTATAGAAGTTATCAGTAGATTTGAAATAGAAACTTTTTTTGAAATGGAAATTTTAGAACTAAGAAATACAACATCTGAAATAAAAAATTCACTAGATGGGCTCAATAGCAGAATGCAAATGACAGAGGGAAGTGTCAGTAGGCTGGAAGATAGATCCATAGGAATTATCCAATCTGCAGAGCATAGAGAAAAATGTTTAAAAAATAATGAACAGAGCCTCAGGGACTTCTGGAACAATATCAAGTGGTCTAACATCTGTGTCATTGTATTCTTATGGGAGTGGATAAAGAATGACAGAGAAGAAAATGGTTCAAAAAAATTAATGGCTGAAGATTTGCCAAATTTGATGGGAGATATAAGTTTACTAATGCAAGTAGCTCAGCAAACCCCAAACAGAATAAACTTAAAGAAAACTGAACTGAACATCCCACCATTCCCTATCATCTTACCCACCAATGCCCTCCTTAGACCCTGAAAGCATCTGAGTTTTTGACCCTGGAGCCAGGGAAGGAGCGGACTCCTAGGGACTGACTAAAGTGTGAGGCCCAGGGAAAACCAGTTCCCCTGCCTGGGCCTCAGGTCCTCATCTAGAAAATCTCAGAGTTGAACTACATGATTTTCTAATTTCCTTCCAGCTCTAAAATATCACCCATTATCAGCTCTTCTGTGAACTTTTTCTGTTCAAAATGATAACATTATCAAAACCTAATGCTATGAAGCAAGAAACCGCTTTCTTGCCAAGTCTTTTCACCCTTTGTAATGGTGCAAATGACTGAAATGGAGATGCTCACAGAACAGAACCAAAAATGAAGTTTCGTAGCAACCAAAATGGAGGTTGGCTTTCCCCAACAGCTTCCTACAGAGCTCTTTGAGCACCATGGGAAGCCTGGAATTCATTGCAAAGGAAAGGAAGCTCGTCAGAAAACTTTTCACTTCCCATAAATGCATTTCCAATCTTATCATGTTTCTCAGAAGCTAAGGAATGGAATGGAATGCCTCCATGGCCTCAGATTCCTAGTTTGATGTCAAGTCTTATCAGAATAGGTTAAATCTATGTCTGTAAACACAATAACTACCACTTGTATAGCATCTTAAAGTGAACAGAACAGTTCTCTTTCAAGCATAATCTCATTTCATCCTCCCAACCACCAACCTCTGCGATAGGCTGTAGCAATCACCTCTTGTTTCCTCAGAGGAAACAGTCTGAGAGAGGTTGAGAGTTTTACCCCAGGCCATCTAGTACTAAGCTTGAGAACGTGCCAACTCTCTGGCTTCCAGTTCTGTCCTCTTTTGCCACCACCAGGAACCAGAGGCCCTAAGCAATGCCCAGAGCCAAGCTGTGACCTGCAGCTACTGGGCAAGAGGCCAGTTACTCCACATTTTCAGGCAGCTGTAGTACATTAGATCCTCTCAGATCATTCCTCCCAAGAGGAACACAGTGTTAACAGTTGGCTCCAATACACTCTGTCCCTCTCCCAGTCCCTCATTGCCACTAGCCAGGCTACTTGGCATGGAGAGGCTCTCTGATATTAGACACAAGCTCTTTTGAAAATGTCTTTCCTCTCCTCCTTCCAGCCGCTTGAGAATGTGCTTGGCTTTGAGTCAAGTAGGCTTGGGAATTGGTGGTTGCTTCTTCAGGTTTTGCCATTGAGGGGCCTTGAAGGGCTTTGCTGCTTGGCCCCCACACAGGCTTCCTCTCTGCTCTCCTCTCCCCTGAGGAATTGCTGTTCCTTCCCATTCTTGCACATTCATTCAGCCTCCACTCTGCATTGATGTGCCCGGAGGTCGTCCTTCCCTCCCTTCATAAGCCAATTTCAGCTCATTTATTCACACATTGTCCCTTCATTTTCAAGAAAAATACAAAGTAGTCTCTTTGAGTATGATAATTCCGAGTCATTGCATACCATCATTTCAGAACAAAAAGATGTCAAAAGGTGGGTGGGTTCATTTCATCTAGCAAGGGAGTAGGACTTCTCTTCTTTGTTTTACCCTTAATGACTCATTCAACCTGAATCAAAGCTGAGTAGTCTAGGTCTTTGAACAGGAAGCTGGGGGGGGGAGGGGGGAGGAGCAGGGTGTAGTAGGTACCACCCAAGCTGGGGCCATGTGCATGTGGCATGGAATGGGCAGAAGGAACTGAGAAAATAGAATGATAGAATGGTGTCATATGAAGCCCTTGTTCATCTCTGGATCTCTATTTTCCCATCTATAAAAACCTCAAAAGGATCACTCTTGTAGTGGGTTGGGACTGGGGTACATGACCTCACTATAACTATTTTCCTGAATCACTGTGCTTTCCTACCTGAGCATTGGAAACTTGAGTCAGGAAAGGAGGTTCAATCCTCACCTGGCTTAGGTACCTGAAGAGGTGGAGAGAGGAGGCTCTGCTGGCAGACTTCAGTTTGGATCCTGCCTCTGCTACTTCCTGGCTATGTAACCTTGGGATAAGTATTTCACCTCTCTGAGTCTCATTTATAGTTTTCTCATTTATAAAAAGAGAATAGTCCTTATCTTGATAAGGTCATTGTGAGGATAAAATGTAATATCTGCCACAATTATCTCAGGGACTTCCCTGACTCACATACAGAATATATAGGACAGAGGACAGGTAGGCTGGGTGGGCTTGGACAGTCTTTTAATATCCCTCAGTTTCTTCTTTGGTAAAATTGGGATAACATGTGCTTTACAAGAGATTTCTGAGTGTTAGAGATGATATAGTAAAGAGTCCAGCATAGCACTAGGACCTTAAGTGGTGCTGCTGGTCAATTAGAGATTATCAGTATTTACCTTACCTAGGGCCAGTGCTGGGTCAAAGCAGGAGACAACAGTGGGTTTTGAGCCAAAGAAGGTGGGACCAAGATGCCATCAGTATACAGGCTGGGCCAGTATCTAGAAATGTGGTGCAGGGTGCTCAGACAGGGGATGGTGTCTGGCAAGAGTTCACACCCCAGGACCAGAGGGGCTGCCCCACGTACCCACTCATACAGCTATATTTTCCACATGTTGGGTTCAGGCAGTTTCCCTGATGGGTTCACAGGCCTCAATACGAGCTGCCAGACAGGGCTCTGCAGAGGCTTAGAAATAGGGTAGTAACACCCTAGGGCAGTAGCTCTCAACATGAGGACCCAGGTTGCTGCAGAAGATTCACAAACATAAAAACATTCCTTTTGGGGAAGGAAGACTTTTTGTTTTGTTTTGTTTTTTCCTGGTGGAAACTGAGATCTATGGGATTTTGGTCATGCTGGGCTGTCTAGTGGTTCACAGACCTCTTGAGGTTCCAACACAAGTGGCCTTGGGGTACACAACTCTGAACCAGTCTGGGAGAGCAATGGGATTCGTCTCCCCAGTCCCTCCCTTCAGCAAGTTTTAGTTGCACACCCTGGAGAACCAGGTCTCAGTATATCTCCCCCAAAAAACCATGACCAAACCATCTGCTAAACAAATCACACACTGTTCTGTCTCAATAATCTTACTTGCATCATTGTGCAGCCTGGAATGTCCTCTCCACTCACCCAAATCCCATCCATGTAAAAGGCCCAGCACCAGTCCTAACTCTTCTGGGAAGCCCTCCAAAATCTTTCTAGCCCACAGAAATTATCCCTTCCTCAGAACACATGGTCGTGCCACCATTTTCTTTCTGGATAGCTCTTATTCTAAGGTTTTGTTTGTTAGCATCTGTCTTTGGTATTTTTAATTTTTTTCTTCATGAATATTGGTTTCCTCCATCTTTCTCCTTTCTTTCTTCCAGCTAGTCACCAAAGCCTGTTGGTTGTACCTCTTAAAATTATCTTAAATCCATCAACTTCTCTTCACCTCTCAGGGTCATTCTCTGGTTCAGGCCACCATTACTGCAGCAGCCTCCTGAGAAGTCTCTTGCATCTGGACCAACCCTTCAAATTCATTCTCCACCCTGAGCCCAGAGGACTGTTGCTAAAATATAAATCTGTCTCGAGATGCCTGGGTGGCTCAGTCGGTTAAACACCTGCCTTCTTCTGCTCAGGTCATGATCTCAGAGCCCTGGGATCGAGTCCCACATCAGGCTCCCTGCTCAGCGGGGAGCCCACTTCTCCTTCTGCCTGCCACTCCCACCCGCTTATGCACTCTCTCTCTCTGACAAATAAAATCTTAAAAAAAATAAAAAAGTAAAATACAAATCTGCCTCAAGCCGTTTATCCCACTAGCCTCAAGAGAAAATATAAACTTTCCAACAGACTTTTCAAAGGCCTTCATTTACTGGTCCCCGCCCACATTTGCAGTCACATTTCTTAACATTCCCCTCCCCCCAACCCCTTCCACCATTATCACAGGCCTGCCACATTCTGGTCATGATAAATCCTTATTAGCTCCTCACACACACACTCTCCTGGACATTCTATCTGGAATCTTCTTCCTTCCCACCCACCATGCCTCACACAGCACTTGATTCACCTATATATATTCAGTCTTCAGGTCTCCAGTTCAATGTTCTCTCATCCACTAAACCTTGATTCCTGCCGGCTCCCCAACACATACCCCAGTCTTGGTGACCTACCCAGAGTACCTTGTCCCCTCCCCATCACCATACTTTTAATTCCATTTTATAGTATTGTTTTTATACTGGTCTTTGTCCCCCAGTACACTATAAGCAATTTCAGAACAGAAACCATATCTGCACAGTTTATTGTTGCATACCCAGTGCTGGG